GCAAACATGCAATAAACATATCTTCTCAGTCTCATGTTTTCCTGTTTGTCCCCCAAAACTTTTCTTGATTCTTTAACCTCCATCCCTGGCCTATGAGACCCAGTACTCCTAACTAATATAAAACTGATTCAGAGGAAAATAGAAAGGAAGTTCACTCAGCATCATTCCCCATCTTTCAGCAAATAAAAAATTAGAAACTCATATTTACTGAGGTAATGGGTAATTTTTCTCTGCTGTCAAAAGTTCTATATGGAAATCACACTAGTGCAAAATCAAGAAACTAATCCTTCTTGAAATCATGGCTTTAATACTATCTAAGAGTAAATTTTAATACAACTAATATTTTGCTTCAACCTAGTCTTACCATTAACATATTCTTATGTTTAGTTATATCAGACCTATTACTAGCACCTGCATAAAGTTTACTATGAGAATTAAGAGAACAAAAAATGGATGTCATTTTTTTAAAGGAATGTGTTAAATTAATTGAATTATTTCCTCAAATCACCAGAATTCTCTTTTCACTAGCTATTATCCATCAGTGAAAAACAAAAAGTACTCATCAATAAAATCATAGTACAAGTCCAGTCAGCCTGTGCAAAGACTGTGCCAAGTGTTACGTTAGGATCAGGAATAGATCTAGATAAAGTACAATCTATAATGGAATCAATGGGATCCAAATTATCGCCTGGGGCACAACAACTCCTAGATATGGTTCGTTTTCAACAGAAGGTAAGTTACCATTTGCAAAACATTATTCATAAAATGTACTTTTTATGCACAAGGAGTAGAAGGAACTGTATAATGTGGCATTTTTGTATTCTCAACTTGCATATTATTTGTGTGCTGTTAATAAATGAAATAAAGGCAGGTTTTGCCTTCTTTCAAATGATTCTTACCAAATTTAGTTGCAGAGTTAGAATTTTTGTTTATATATAGTTTTCCTTTCCGTAGTAATTTTGTGGTCTTTTTGCATAGTGAAGTTAGAAAAATAAATAGATATATAACACTAAGTTGCATAATTGGTCTGAAAAGGTAGGGTATATATAAATTGAAGTTATATGGTAACACGTGAATCTTCATATTAGACTCCAAAATTAGGTAAGCTCAGCTTTACGTAGTACTTGGGCAGCTACCAGGGAGTCCGAAGCTGTAGAGTAGACGAGAAGGGAAAAAATGAACTAGGGAATGGCAAACAATTTCCATATTATTGCCAAGAAAATTTCATGGTGTTTCACGTAGTCATAACTATTCAAATGTGAATGGTGGGTGTTGTTTGAAAGGTGTGTAATTCATTCATTATGGTTGTAAGGTCTGGATCAATCTGGTGATGAAGAAGATAACAGTGAAAATGCAATTATATTCTTCTCTACCTTTGTTACCTTCCTTTTCCTTTGTCCTGCTCATTCCACATTCAGCAGTTTGCATTTAAAATAATAAAAAGAACTTGACACTTTCTCCTTTAAAGTTCCAAATTGTTTATGTCGTATCAAAGATTATAGTAAAATGAAGCCAAGTTCAGTAAAATATTCTGAAAACAACCTGTTAAGTACAACATAACCAGATCTACACACGAAGAGCTCCATGCCTATTTCATAGGATATTGGCAGTTTGCATCGGGACCAAACTAATTCAACAATATTCAAGGGGGGTTGGACTTTGCTTTTTTATGCCCACATAACAATTCCAGACTAATTCCCCACTTGGCTTCTCCCCCTGGCTAAATGAGTCTCTCTCTGATAGGCAGGGTTAGCAGGAGCCAATGGGTTAAATATGGAGGAATTTCAGAAAATTGCTAGAAAAGCAACACATTGAGCAAATGGTTTTCCAATAAGGGGGAATATTCACCTGTTCAATATGAGTCTGGAGTATTCAGGTAGATACTATTGGGATTAGAAATTATTTTGGATTATATATTTAAATTAATGAGATCGTGTATTTTATTTCTATTAGAATGGAATTTCTTTTGGAGGCAAGTTACAAACCATCTTAGGAGGGAATGGATTTGTGTATGGAAAAAATCATCCCATTGATGGATTGAAAAAGGCATCTGACTTAGATCATTTGTCCAATGGACCTTATCTTTTAAAAGCTAATTTGGCAGCTAAAACAGTTACAGAGGATTTAAATGCACACTCCAAGATCACCAAACAGGTTCTTACTACAAGTAACATTTTTGAGCTTCCTGGACTTCAGCCTTGCACTGTACCTTCTGAAAGTGACTGTAAAGGGTTTATGGCATCGTTTTTTCAAGAACAAGGAAATGAAAATTCAAATATGCCAAATTCCACATTGCTGCTTCCACTTCTTCAAACAGTATGTGGCCAAGTAGATCGTCTATCCATAGGTGAAAAGGATAAATGTGAAAAAAATTCTTCTTCTCAGAAAGATGGAATTCAAAGTGTTGGGTGAGTTCATATTGGAAAATTTTATCCATTTTTAAAATTGGGCTCAAAATGCCTCTTTGAAAAAATAAGGGAGACTTTACCAAACAGTTGAACTATGTAACTGTTAAACAAAATTTTTCATCATTATGTGACCATTGAATTTAGCTGGATTTTTGAATTCATTAAAATTGAGAGCATTCAAATTGCTAATTTCTGATTGGTTCACTTTCCATAAATCTTTGCACTCTGATAGCAGGAACTATATGAAAGATTAATCAGTTGAATTTGAAAAAAAATTAACTATGCAGTTATATTCTGACTCTCTACTGGTTCCCTAGATTATCTCTTTAAATCAGTTTTGAGATGTTGGCATGAAATCATGAAAAAGAAAGATATTTATTTGCTTATTCAGCTTATATGGCTGCCCACTTACCAAGTGATTCTGAGTAGCTAACAGTGTTAAGAAGATGAAATAATAAATCAGTAATAAAAATCCCAGACACCCATAGAAACACATTACAGCACTGGGTGCAATAATACACAAAATTCATATTGAAACATGGAGTGTCCTGTTTCAGTTCCTGTTCCTGTGTAATATAATGATTACTTTATCTGTACTCAAAGGCTGAAGATTGTATGCCTAGATATCCATTGTGCTATAATCCTATTTTGCTTGTTGCCTTACCAGAGGTATTTTAATAAATCTTCTGCTCATTTGATTTTTTAAAAAGTGGTAGATGATACTGCTTAACATTTAAAAATACATATTTAATATTTCCAGTTTAATTAAATAACAATTAAATAACATGAGCCTTGGAAAATTTTCAGATTTTGATTGTTCAGTGTCAGATATTCTACTGGGGTATTTGTAAAATTATTGCTACTTAAGATATATAATTTATATTTTTCAATGGCATGGAACAGTTTTTGGTTATTTGCATTTCTTGCAGTTTAGAACAGCAGCATATTTGTCTATATTTGGAAAAGTTCATGTCCAAAAAGATGGAGCAGACAGAGAAGAGATTAATGGACTATATTGACCTACGTATGCAAAAACTTCAGGAACATGTTGATAATAAACTTGCTGCAGTAATAGATTTGGTTAATAATTCGCATATTGGTTCTCAAGAATGTCCTTTGAAAGAAGAAAACACAGATGGGAAGAGGTAGGAAATCCTTATAAAAATCAAAGACCTCAATATGTTTTATAAGGACAGGTCTGTATTTTACAAACTTGTTGCTTATAAGCTTGTAAACATTTACACCTCAAACTTTGTACTTTTTCTGTAATTTTGCAAGTATTATATGCTAAAGTTAATTGTTATACTTCTGTAATGTGTAAAATAAGTATTTTTTACATTTCAGAGTATTTTCTATATCTGCTTATGGCCTATTTATTCATAACTATTTAAAAATTAGTTTTGGGCATGATAAGTTACTAAATTATTTTGAACCATTCTAAATAAAGTGCTTTGCAGCTTTATCAACATTTAATACGATTTTTTTTAGTTTAATGTAGGGTAATATCATAAAGTAATTAAATTATATCCATTAATTTTGGGTTTTAAATTAATGTTCAGTCTTAGAAAAAAGCAGATTAATTAAGAGAAGGCGTCTGTATTTCATTGACACATGCAATATGTATCTGGTCTTGTTATCCATGTAGAACTTCAAGTTATTTCAACATATATTTTCTCTGATCTTATTTTGTATATATTCATCTGTATTTGACAAAGGCTCATGAGTAAATATGACTCATATGATGAATTTTGGCAGTAGAGCAGCAGAATCCAATGATTTGACATCAAAAAACTGTTTTTTCCTCAATGAGTTATTCATGTATACTTCTCTTTCAGTAGTTTGCTTGAATGTTTGTGTATTAATATATAAGCAAACAAGGTTAAAGTGGTTTGTCTAAAAATAAGTTTAACATAAAGGAGTTCATGGAAGGAATATTCCTGGCCGTTTTCTACCTTACAGCCATTTGTGTCTCCTGAAAAATTCTCCAGAAAAAAAGATGAGGGAAGAAGAGAAGAATCATATTTATGATCATAAGTTTCCTCAATTTCAGTTTCCTTATTTTGGTATCCACTGTAGCGGTATGTGTATGTGTGTTTTGTATTTGGCTGTTTCCTTTCCAGATATGTTTAATGCTGTAGTTCATTTATTTTAATTGAAATTATTCTTCTAAAGAAAAAATCATGGAAAGATCACAGAACATTTCATTCATATCTACGTAGATGTGAAACCGTCAGATGAAGGTGTTAGTAACTCAGTTTCTGGTATCTGTATCCGGTTTCTCGAGTGATGAGACGCTTTGCTGCTAGCCCAACCAGGAGTACTGTGTTTGTAGCCAACACAACAAATGCAAGGATATATAGGATTTGGGGCTGTGCATTAACACTTTCTTCTGGATAAACTTCACTAGAAATGTCTGAAAATAAAAACAGAAGACAAATGGAGGTTAAATGATCTTCACAAGTTCCAAAATTATTGAACAATACTTTTAAAATAAAATCTGGAAAATTGTTGACTATACATTTCCTTTTTTTTTTAAACCAGTATTTTATGATTGATTTGGTAGAGATGGAAGTACTGGCAGTTCTGTGTGTCTGCAATTCAGTGGTAGCATGCTTTGATTGCTATTTGTAATACTGAAAGTGCTCTTAAACAATTCCCAATGAAACCTGTTAAATCTACTGATGTAATCAACTCCAAGAAAACATTCTCACCTGAGCGATCCATGGAACTTCCTTCTCTTTTCAGTTTGAGGGGTCCAATCACAGCATCTCCTTTCCATTTGTAGGAAGAAATCTCTCTTTTATGCCGAGAAATGCAACCTTTGGTGCAGCGAGAATTAGAATCCTTGCTGTCGCAAATTAAAACTTCACAGTGAAGATAAACAGATGGGTAATGTTTTAGAAATCTGAAGGATCTGAACCTGAATCTCCCAAAATGCTCAAGGATGGGATAGGCCATAAAAGTATCATCCTTAGTGCAGCTGAAATAGAATATTCAGATTATTTTATCATGATAAATACTTGGACTCATATGCATTTATATTTTATGCTTATCAGAAATTGCTTTGTAAAAGTTCAAGAATGAATGCTTTTAAGGAAAAGAGTTTCGATCCTAGATCTATTTCTTTCCTTTCTCACATGGATTCTTTCAATCTATAGTTAGCCCTACTTATATTTTGTCCAGAAAGTTACTCGTGTCAGTCTGCTGCATTTGTACAATAAAGCCATGTGAGATGTATTGCAATTTACATGCTTGTAGATATTAATCTATTTTATCAAATGCCTGCAGTCTTGTAAACAGACTATTAAATATATATGTAAAATGGGAGATAGAATGAACTTGAGTGGCTATAAACAAAAGTACTACTTATATGTCATTCAGATATCTTTACTCTAAATAATTAAGTAATGTATGTAATATAATATGAAACCTTTGTCCTATTTTTCTTCCATGATGGAAATTACATCAGTTCTATGTATTGTAATATAACTCAATCTATATTTATAGTAAATCCTAATTGCGATTAACAGTGAATATACTTACCCACTTTTAACTAAATCATATTTAGGTGATTTAGAATTAAGGTCTGGAGATGCTGTGCAAGTATCCACAAATACTGCCAGATTTGGATCACTGGAATGTAGGCTGATCTGTGCATAGAGCATTTGGTTCAAGTCAACAAAGTATGGAGTTTCAAATATTGGTTTGGAGAAAGAGTCTGTTTCATAGAACGACATGCTGAGATTGTATTTACCCGCAGTCGTTGTGTTGTCTAAATGTTCACTTTCTGTTACATATACAACTTCTACTGTTGAATTGTTTTCCATTATACATTTCACAACAATTTCAACTTTCTTTTGGCGGGTGACCACAATGCCTGTTGGGTAGGCAGTTACAATATTGCTGTAAGAGATGCTTTGACCTTCAGTCTGCCAAGAAAAAAAAATGTATTTTTTAAAATGGTAGAATATTTCAGGAGACAGAAAAAATATTTTTGAGCTACAAATACATCACGAGTCTTAAGGTTTTATAATGTATATATAAATAAAAATGTAAATGTTCGTTTGTTCAAAATCTTAAATCTCCGAAAGTTTTTCACCGATTGTTTTGAAATTTTGACACAACGTTGCATTCGAATACGCGCGTGTTTTTATATACCTACTATTATATAGATGTCACACCTGTGACAGGTAAAAACATGCTTTTTAAAAAAAAACAGCACCATCTGTTGGACGTAAAAGCAACACACGCTACGAAACGTACGCTTTCTCTTTTCTTTCTTTTCCATTTAACCAGACTGAGCCACAGCAACGCGTGGCCGGGTACAGCTAGTATCTAATTATAAAAATGTAGTTTTGTTTAGATATAACAGCCAGTAGCAAGAAAATCATATATGATAATAGATTGAAGAACATTGAAAAGTAGAAGCCTTCTCCAATATCATTTTCTTTGATATTACTGATTTCTCCATTTGAAAACTAAGAAGATATCTTGAAAATCAGCATTTGAATTCTGAAAAAAGCACAGGACATTTAATGAAGCAGGCTGTTGCCAGTAAATAAAACTACAAGGGAAACTAATGAGCTGTATGCAATCCATTTACAGCTTCAATCTCTAGTCTCAGGATTGTAAACACTTTGTAAGTTCCATTAATTTTAGTGGGACCTGGTGTAAATGCTCAGTATACTTTGTATCCTGTTTAATTGTATCCTTATGCTTTCCAACTATCTTTGTACTCTAATGGGGTATTTTTAAAATTCACTTACAGCTCTGATAGTGTTCTTTTTCATATCTGAGTGGTGTAAAAAAGCAAAGTACAGAGATATACAATTGTATTGGACTCATTCAAGATTGCATGTCATTAATATGTTTAAATCTAGCGATAGTATATAGCAGTGATGGCGAACCTTTTAGAGACCGAGTGCCCAAACTGCAACCCAAAACTCACTTATGTATCGTCGGGTGTCAGGTGGGTGTGACCCATTGGGTGGGCATGGCTGTGGTGGTAACAGCAGACTGGGTGGGACTAAAAAGTTCAATCAATCAATTCCAACTTTGCGAGATCTTATTTTTTCCTGTGAGAAGTTGAAATTGACTGATTGAAACTTTTTTTTTTGCAAATGGCCACGGAGACCTAAAGCGAAAAGGTTTTATAAAAGCCAGCTGAAGGCCTAGGACTGGGGGACGGCACGCGTGCCCACAGAGAGGGCTCTGAGTGCCGCCTCTGGCACGCGTGCCATAGGTTCGCCACCACGGGTATATAGTGAAGAGGAGCAAGATAGAAAAGGTTTTAAGTATGGGTTTTAAGTATGGGCTGATAACCATTAGTTGAAAGAAACAAGTACAGCATGGAAAACTCACTGCTGCCATCTAGTCACCATCTGGATTTTTTCAGCCCTGATTGGTGACTATTAAAAGCAGCTACAGCTTTGGAAAAAATAAATGAATTCACAGCAAGATGAATGTTACCTTTTTAATTGTTCCACAGCTGTTGATTGGAAAAGAAAATATCACTGGGTTGTAAGAAATAGGTTTGCAAGTTTCGTCATTCAGATGTAAGACACTTGCATTATAGTTGAGCGAAGCCAAGTAAAATTTGCTGAGAGTAATTATCATGTTGTCTGAAGAACAACTGAGGGATGCTAACAGGAAAAGAAAAAAATAGAACAGCCTCAGGAATAATATAAAACTCTTTGTCCTAGAAAGAAGCATGTAATTGCTATTGCAGATTAATTTGAAAGGAGATGACAAAAGTTATAAAATTGTTCTGTGTGAAAAATTGATTATTTTTCCTGCATCATAAAACGAAAACATCTGGGACAAGCAGCACCTAACGAAGACTTTGGTCTTGAAAAAGCTAAGCAGTGTTAAACAGGTTTGTAGATGAATGAGAGACCCCAGGGAATCCTGGTTCCGTGGCAAAATAGTAAAGTAAAATAAATAGAAATCTGACTATTACTATCACTTCCAAACTATTGGAAATGCTTTGAATTTGAAGCACCTCCAAAAAAGATGAAGAAAAATGTTAAAATTATTTCCTTGGGTGTAAGCTAGATATTAGCACATGGTAGAGTACATTGATTCTGAAATGAATATTTCACCTTCTCTAACAGCTTGTCTGTAAAGAGAGCAAAAAAATATGATTCCGGGTACAGCATCATTGTTCTCTGTATAATCTTATAATCCTGCAGGCAGAGATCCCAGCAAATCTTAATGCCTTCAACAAAAGATGTGATCTTTTCAGGATTTCTCATAATTGCTGTATTTTGAACTAACTTGCAGTTTCAGAAAGTGAGAAGATGCTCCCCCAAAACATGCTGGCTGATGTTTTAATTGTAAATTGTAATTAGCTGTATGTGACCTTGGATATTTATTATTTGGATTGTCTGAATATTTAGTTTTAATTTTGTATACTGCCCACAGTCATTGCTGTGACATTGCTGTGGCAGCTATATAAATTGTATAAATAAATGACCTTATGTCATCAGACATATATAATTACAGTCAGGTATAGCTGTACTGAGACCTAGTTTGGTGTGATGGTTAAGGAAACCAGGAGATTATGAGTTCTACTCCTTTCTTAGGCACAAAGCCAGCTGAGTGATTTTTGGCTAGTTACCCTTGCCCAAGGAAGCAAGCAACGGCAAACCACTTCCAAAATCTTGCCAAGAAAGCCTTACAGGGACTTTCCTGAACAATAGATAGTAGCCAGGAGTCAGCACTGACTTGAAGGGGCAAAATAAAAACAAGGTAGGAATCTCTGGTGGTGGATAGAATATCTGGGTGTGCTTGTGCCTATGTCAAACTGGTCATAACTTGAAATAAGGACAACATCCTTGTCATATTTCAAAATCTAGAAAAGATGTCAAAATGTCAGATTTCTATGCAAGACATCATTAGAAGAATAGATCTGTATTTGGTATTCCCTTTCCATATCAGTATAAATCAGTTATTATAGCCTCATTGGACTTACTGTTAGGTTGTGATATTGGTATAGTTGTGTAGCGAGCTGAAAAGCCCCTGTAAGAATTAGCATAGTCCGTAGACATCACAATTGTCATAGCATTAGACGAAGATGTAAATGTTGGAGTTAAATGACCGCACACTTTTTTGATTAAAGGAGAATCAGATCTTGGACCGTCATAAATGGCGAGAAAATCATATCTGCACTTTTCATCAACTTCTATCCTGGACACAGAAAAACAACAGTTTGATTTTACTATTATTTCTCATATCCCTTTTTCTCCTTTATCGTTTATCCTTGGTTCAAGGTATTCCCCAGTTGGCAGTCTTAATTTATACTCTATGCTAGTTCTATGATAGGTAATACCTTTTTGAATTTGTGGACTAGCTTTCATAAGATTGGATTTAGGCAAATGTTTCCCAAAGGTTTATAATTAATTTATGAATCAATGTGTTATAATGATTAAGTTATTTGACTAAAACGGGGGAACCAAGAATGAATGAAAATAGGGAATAAAGAGCATCAGTTTAGAAAAAAAGTGACTGTCAAATATTAGGGATAAGCATATTGTAATTCTTTTGCTAAAATTCCACTTTCTATTGAGTGATTTTTACTAACATGCAATCATATAATTCTCCCTATTTTTAAATGCAAGGTTAATCTTAGAACTTATTTTAGTTTATTTATTTAAAAATTTTAACATTTCATACACTGACCAAAATTGGAAACACATATGTAAACCAAAATCTACTTACAGTATGTCCTTGAAAATTAAATTTATCTTGGTATATGGTTCTGTTTCTATATGCCAGACACAATACGTAAACGGTGGGTGTTTCTTGGGGTAGTTTGGGCTGGTGAATGTTCCTTCTGGGCTAGTAAAGTAACCTCCGCAAACAGCTTTAGAAAGATTAAAAAACATACATCGGCATGCAAAAAACATGGTTTGCTGTTCTTCCTTTTCCTGTCCTCAGCCAGTGGAAGGATTCAAGCTGTTTAGAAATTATGCAACTGCTTTGATTACCTTTAGAGTAATCCTTAGGGTTCAAGGATTTTCTAAGATTATACATACAACATGGGATTAATAGAGCTTCCACTATATCTGCTGCTGATAGAGGAATTGGCCATAAACAGATTGAACCCACTGTAAATTAATGCATATACACAGTTGCTTGGTATTCAGTTACAAGTAGTCCTTGACTCACAACCATTTGTTAAAATTCTCAGTCACAGTGGCCTCAAGAGTGGGCCATAAAACACTTGCAGTTGATGTAAAATGTCACACTGTCTCCCCACAGTTACATGACCACATTTTGGACATTTGGCAACCTATTCACATTTACAACTAGTTGCCAAGTTCCCAGCAATCAGATGATCATCATTTGTAATGTGCTTTGCTATATTCAGGAAGAATATAGGGAAGCTCCCTGGGAAGGTTGCAAGTGGGGGGTATATTGGATATGAGGTCCCTTTCTCCAGAGGCGAATTCTCCCACATGCTGGAGAAACAGATCTCAGATGTGGTAAAAACACTAATGAATGCCAGCGTTCCAAGCACTTTCAGAACACTGATGTTCCATAATATTTTCTCCTCCCCTCTGGAAGGCGCAGAAAGACTCCACAAGGAAAGGGAAAATAGCGGTAGCGCTTAGACTTATATACCATTTCATAGTGCTTTACATCCCTCTTTAAGCAGTGTCCCTGTGCTCAAGCTATTTTTCCTTTTTTTAAATTCATTTTTCAAATAAGAATTCATTGTAGCTAGGAAAAGTTAAGTTTCAATCAATTCTACAAGAGTATCATCTATCAGTTTCTATTCTAAAACTGGAAACCTGAATTCCCAGGTGATTCTGGATGGAGATCTCCCTCCTTTCTTGTGTGGGTGACTTACGTGTTTCTGGTGAAATATAGTAATAAAATGCATAGATCTTTCGTGTAAAATTTGTGGAATCTGTTGATATGCGAAACGTTAAAGTCGAAGATGATGAGTGAAATACTGAGTCTTGAGTACGGCATATTTTTCCTAAGACAGATGAATTAGTCGAGGGACCGTCATATACTTCAATATATTCTTCGTCACATGAGGACAGTGGGCTAAATCTAAAAGAAAAAGAGAAGATTGGTTTCTCTGTAAGTTAGTATTAATGAAATCCCTTCATAAAAAAAATAGTGCAATCTTCTGAGTATTGAAACTAAATAAAATATTTGTACTATGCTTCCATTATAGTAGTACAGTATCTCTCTCTCTTGTAAACATTACAAAAACAGTGTCTCCAAATACTGGCTTCATATAATTGTGTCATAATTCTGCAGTCTGAGTCCTCAGTCACTGAAAAAAGAAGACACCCTATAAAAATGTTGCCCATACAGGTGGTTCTTGATTTATGACCATAATTGAGCCCAAAATTTATGTTGCTTAGTGAGACAGTTATTAGGGTTTTTGCCTCATTTTACAACTGTTATTATCATAGTTGTTAAGTGAATCACTGCAGTTGTTAAGTTAGTAACACTGTTGTTAAGTGAATCTGGCTTTCCAATTGACTTTCCTTGTCAGAAGATCACAAAAGATCACATGACTTCTCCCTTTACCTTTGTTTATTCATGATCTTTGTGTCAACCTGGTTTCTTATTTCTGTTAACCCCTTATATTGCTTAAATCTGGGCCAGTGATGGCAACATTATGACTGGAGTACCTCAAGGTTCTGTCTTGGGCCCAGTGCTCTTCAACATCTACATAAATAACCAAAATGAGGAGATTATGGATGGGGGAAATTGCTAACACCTTGAAAGATAGGCTCAAGATTCAGGAGGATCTTGGCTGACTTGAGCATTGATGTAGTTCAGTGGGGAGAAAAGTAAGGTCCTGCACTTAGGCAGAAAAAACCAAATGCACAGGAGTAGAATAGACAGTACCTGGCTCAACAGTAGTCTCTTTGAGAGGGAACATTGTGTCCTGGTGGAGCACCACTTAAGTATGAGGCAGCAGTGAGCTGAAGCTGCCAAAAAAGCCAATGCTGTCCTAGGTTGTATGAACAGAGGGATAGCATCAAGAGCATAAGAAGTAATAGTACCTCTCTATATTGCACTAGTAAGGTCACACTTTGAATACTGCATACAATTCTAGTCACCATGATACCAAAAAGATGCTGAGGCCCTAGAAAGAGTGGAAAGATGATAAGGCCATGGTGGTGAACCTATGGCACGCGTGCCACAGGTGGCACGCAGAGCCCTCTCTGTGGGCACGCATGCCGTCGCCCCAGTCTAAGGCCTTAAGTCCCGTCCATGAGCAACCTGCATCAAAATCTCCCCGGGCAAGTGGCTTTTTAAGCTGGGTTTTATAAAACCTTTTCACTTTAGGCCTCTGCCGCCATGTGCAAAAAAAAAAGTTCAATCAATCAATTTCAATTTCTTGCGGGAAAAAAAGATCTCGCAAAGTTGGAATTGATTGATTGAACTTTATTTTTAGTCCCACATAGCGGCGGAGGAAGTGACGCGTCAGAGCTGGAAAGAAGGTGCCGTGTGGGGGTGAGAGGAGCGGTGGGACCAGGGCACTCCATGCGAGGGGTGGGGCGGGGCCTCTGCATGGGGTAGAGAAGCAACGCGAGATCTCGCGAGAAGTTAGAAAATCTGATGGAACTTTTTTTTTTACCGATAGTCCCACAAACACGCGGCGAAGGCTGAGAGGTGAACAGAGAAACGGAATGCAGCCAAAAGGCAAGCTAATAAAAAACATTTGGGGGAAGGCAAGGGCATCTGGGCATGGACGGGCATGGCAACTTTACCCTGTATGGTGGCAGGAAGGTGGGGCATGTGCCCTTCCCATGCCAGGCCAGTCCCTGCAGCCCCGGGGTGGCCATGGTAGGTGGTGGAGGGCAGGCCATTGAGGTGGGGGCTGGCAGTCCGACCAAAGCAGCAGGTGGAGCGCCGGAGGCTTGGGGAGGGAGAGTGCTGAAGCGTGCAAGGAAACGAAGATTTTTTTGGGGGAAAAAAGGTCATCAATGAAGTCCAACTTTGCGATCTTTCACGAGAAGTTGGAATTGATTGATTGACCTTTTTCCCTGCAAAAAAAAAATTCCTTTGTTCTTGCAAGCGGCAACAGCAGATCGCGAAGGAGAAACAGCACAGGGCTGGGAGTCAAGTAAGGAAAGAAAGGCAATTTCTGGGGGGAGCAAGGATTTCTTTCCTTACCTGCCCCACTTGTTCTGAGGCCGCTTTCCACTTAACCACATTGCTCTTGCCAATGGCCCAACTGCCCACTTCAGCACACTCTCTCCCTGAACCTCCGGTGAGCCACCTGCTGTTTTGGTGGCTCTCTAAGTAGAACTGCAAAAATCTCTTCTCTGTCAGAGAAGAGAACTTCGCAGCTCTGCCTACAGAGCCACCAAAGCTGTAGCTGAATGGGCAGGTGAGGTGGGAACCTGCCCCACTTGTTCCATGGCCGCTTTTGGCCTGGCCGCACTGCAGCGGCATTGGGTGCAAGACGCGAGGCGGCAAACAGCCGCACCAAGCTGAAACCGGCCGTTTGCCGCCTCCTGCCCAATGCCGCTGTCATGAGGCCGTGGAACAAGCCGGGCAGTGGTAAGAAACCGGTATACCAGATCCTCACTCCCCTACTCCGCCTGCTGCTGGAAGGCTGGCCCGGTATTCGCAGCGAGCTGTGGAGCCTCAGAGTGCGCCGGTCAAGAGGCTGTCGAACTGTGGCTGCTAATGGATACAGTTGCCCCCATGCATTTGCTCTGTGCGGGGATCGATGGTGTCAGGCAGCAGCCACCCCGGTCCCTGCCTTGCCTTGCCTTGCCCTGTGGCAATGGCCCCCTGCCTGGTCTTGCCTCACCCTGTAGGACAAGCCTCCTGCCCACCGTCCCACCTACCAGAAACCCCCTAGATCTCCCCCAACCCTGCCCGGCCCCCACAGGTGTCCCTCCCCATGAGCAATGAGATGGCCATGCCCACCCTGGCCACGTCCACCCAGTCTGCCATGACCACTGCAGCCACACCCACCCAGTGGTCACGCCCATCCACTGGCCCATGCTCACCCGGCACCCGATGATAAATAAGTGGGGTTTGGGGTGCAGTTTGGGCACTCGGTCTCTAAAAGGCTCGCCATCACTGTGATAAGGCATTTGGAGGCTAAGAGAACTAGGTATGTTTAACCTAACAAAGAGAAGGCTTAGGGATGAGATCATAGCTGTCTTCGAAAACCTGAAGAGCTGTCACAGGGAAGTAGGGATCAATTTGTTCCCCAAAACACCCAAGGACAGGATAGAAAGCAATGGGTGGAAGCTCATCAGAGAGAGAAAGAGAGAATCAACCTGGAACTAAGGAGAATTTCATGACAGTGAGAACAATTAGTTAATGGAAAAGCTTGTCTCATGGAGTTGTAGATGCTCCATTGCTGGAGATTTTCAAAACATTGGACAACCATTTGGGATGGAATAAAGAATCCTCGGTCAGGAAGTTGGACTAGAAGACCTCCAAGGTCCCTTCCAGCTCCATGATATTATAATTCTATGATGTGTGTCAAAAGTGACACATCACAACCTTTTTGAGAGAGAGAGAGAGCGAGCGAGAGAGCTTTTTATAACTTTCTCAAATCCACCAAAAAGTTTTGTTTCTTTGGTCTATACAGATAGATTTAATAAAATATTAAATTAATTCTGTATTAACACTTTATGGATATATTTTTACTTTATTCAAATGTCATTCATTTAAGCATTTTGTATATTTTAGTCTGATTTTATTACCACTGTTATGGTTGAATATCATATCTTCTGGTTGTTATATTTCACCAATAAAACATATAAAAAATGAAATTTTGTTTCTTGTCTTTCCAGATTTTGAGGTAGATCTTCTACGTCTCTCTTCTATAGGTCTCCAATTCTGATTTCCTTACTGTCTGTACAATGCCTAACAAAACCACCCTCCTCTCTCTTCTCTTAATCTCACTCTCTAGTTACCTTGCTCTCTCCAAGGATGTTTTGCATTTTGTTTGTTCCAGATAGTGATCTAGTGCAAATACTGGTTGCTTATCTAATACTATATCTAATTTATGATTTTTCTAACATAACTCGGATAAAGAATACTTACTCCACATAAGAAAAAATTAGTCGAATGGTTTCGTTCATATCCCTTTCTCCCTTTATTTCCCAGATGCAATTTTCACTTGCGTTGAGTTGAATTGGTAGCCCTTGGTAATTTCTCAGCAGTGTTTTCATACATGTTGAATTCCGTTCTAGAAAACCAGCATTAATCTCAGTAATATTTTATAGAAGAATTTTGACTGAAAACATTTGGAGATAATTATATAAATGTAGAATTTCCATAATAACATCTATATATTTACATGTTCCTCACTGGAGGTAGTTAGTAGACTGAGAAGATCTGCCTTCACCTCATTTATGTTTGGTACCTATTTTAGTTAGGATTTTTTTTGTTGTTGTTAATTTTCAATGATCAATGTTTTAACTTTTTAATATTTTATATTGCTGTTTTAATGATGTTATAAGCCACCAGAGTTGTTTGACAGTGAGCTAGATGGCATATAAATTTATTTAATAAAATTTTAAAATATGTGCACTACACTTTGTTTTTCGTAAGAGAACAATGTAATTACAATAATATTTTTATAATCTATACTGATGACAGTGAGAGGACGTATCAAATGTGTAACATTTTGAATTCATTTATAAGAATAAAGATTATACAAGACTAATCTTAAAATACAGTTTCATAATTTAGGCAAAGATTGATTTCAAAGCCACTGCACATTAATTAGATTTTTATATTAGTTTAATTTTTTTTCTAGTTTTCCATACCTTGTAACTCTGCCAGATTTTGTTCAGCAAAACTCAAACCAAAGAAAAATACCAAGAAAATAGCTGCAGAAGCATGTTGTCTCATTGCAGGCATTTTGCTGTGCAATTGTTTATGCATTTTGAGCCTTTTATATCTCTGCTTACTTCATAATCATTAATGTCTAAGCTCAACCTGGAGATGTACGTGAGAAAGAAACAGATGTTAACATAATGGATTTTGTATACCATAGATTGGTTTAAAAAACAGAGTAATCTATTTATAATCACCATATAAAGTCCAAAAACTGGTTTTATAATTCAGTATAATTCAAAATCTACATGTCTAAAATTTCATAATTGGACAAATCCTATAAGCTCAGATCCCTAAGAGTCATGATCATGCAGTGAAGATTAAAAAGTCTGATTAAAAAGTAAACAGATTGTATGACGATCCAGGTTGTTTATTGAATTACTTTCTAATATGTGAAATTGTCTCCCATTATTGTATTTCCTCTCCACACTTCATTTGCATTATATAGCCTTATGAGTAAGAATTGTTCCATATTAGCATTAGAATCCATGAATTTTTGCAGGTTTAATGGACTATTGGAATGTACTTTATGTACGTTAGATATACAAAAGAATAATTCTTCATTAATAGTTGTTGTAAATGATTTGAAGTAATATATGCAGGCAGTCTTTGACTTATCACCGCAATTGAGCCTAAAATTTCTGTTGCTAAGCGAGACAGATGTTAAGTGAGTTTTGCCCCATTTTATGACCTTTCTTGGCACAGTTGTTAAGTGAATCACTGCAGTTGTTAACTTAGTAACACGATTGTTTAGTGAAAGTGGCTTCCCCATTGATTTGCTTGTCAGAAGTTTGCAAAAGGAGATCACATGACTCCAGGATACTGCAACTGTCATGAATATGAACCCGTTGCCAAGAATCTGAATTTGGATCATGTGACCATGGGGATTCTGCAATGGTCATAAGTCTGAAAACCAGTCATAAGTCACTTTTTCAGTGCTGTTGTAACTTTGAACAGCCACTACATGAACTATTGTAAGTTGAGGTTTACCTGTATTGTCAAAGATATGAAGAAAAATTTCTTCAGAACAGAGTTTCCAACAAAGGCTGTTATAATTGTAAACTCTCACTTCATTTGATATGTCACTTTCATGGTATATTAAATCACCATGGCACAACTCTCATCCTTTATGCCCACCTATTAAAACTACTGCTCTTTCCCCTCCTCTGGTTTTCCTATCAAGCAGTACTATGGCACCTTGCTTTGTAGGAGTTCCACTAAATTTAACGTTTTCTTTTATGTAATATAAAATAGGTTTGAGGCATGATAGCCAAATATTTGTTGGTACTGTATATGTATTCCATTTCTACTGCTGGAAGAGTCCTTTCTCATGCTGCTATTGAAAGACAATATTTGAAGATGGTTGCTTGAGGGAGTCTTCCTTGCTTTGAAGCTGCTTCTCTCTGAAGATCCTTTCATAAATTACGTGAAAGGGAATGTAGAGTCAATCTTGGGAAGAAATGACAAGCCTTTAAAGGTTGTGTGGGAGTAGGAAATTATGGAAAAGGTCACACATTCCTGTAAAAGAGGCAAGCTTGAGAAAAAAAATGCTAAAAAAACCTGCTTTAATTTTGTTTAGTTTGAGGTGAAATGTAGAGAAACCTGAACATGTTTTCAAGATTCTGTTAGTCTATCTTGTTGCAAAATAAATAGCACCAGAGTCGGGCTGGCGCAGTGGATAGAATGCAGTATTGCAGGCTAATTCTTCCAGCTGCCAGCAGTTTGATTCTCACCGGTTCAAGGCTGACTCAGCCTTCCATCTTCCCAAGGTTGGTAAATATGGTGATTCGGTGCCTGTTTCTTGAACTGGCCTATTTCAAAGAGCTGATGCTACATTAAAAAAGCAAACAAATATAGATCTTTAGTTCCCACAATGTTCTACCTCTTAACTATTGCTGTTTTCTGCTATACATGAATACTAAAAGTGATAAAACTGTGAGAGAAATTCAGTGTTAAATATTGTTATGGCTTGTCGCACAATCAGCCAGATAATTAGATTGGATTTGGCATTTTCATCTACCTATCCAGCCCAAGGACTTGGGGTAGGCAAATATTATTTGATGATGTTAAAGGTATTGTTTGATATGGATGCCCATTTGCCAAGTAACATTGGGTAGCTGGCATTAAAAAAAATACAGATTTTTAAGAATCTCCCCCCCCTAAAAAAAAGAAAAAATATCAAAAAGCCACCTATTGCATCAAGTGCTCTCCTTTTCTAACAAATAATCCAAAGGAAGTACAAGCAAACATTATCAAAAAATATGTTGAGGTTGGGAGAAAAAGGTGAAAGAAATTATGTTGATAGGAAAGGCTATTGTTGATTGTTTATATTTCTGAGCTGCTTGTCTCCCTCAAAGAGAGATTCTGGGCAGTGTACAATAAAATGTTAAGATATAAAATAGTTTATATAAAAGTAAATATTTAGGAGGAGGCAAGAGGCATTGAATACTTTTAAAATTAATTAAAATGCGAAGAGAGGACTTTCAGGGGACTAACCAGCCCCACATGAGGCTGCAGAATCACGTTTTAATTTCTTTTTTCTTCTCAATTTTTTTATTAGTTTATCAAAGCATAAAAGACAAAAAGACAAGGAAAAATGAAAATAAAGGTAAAATAGGGGAGAAAAAGGGAAAGAGAGAAAAGTGTAGGATAGAGGGGAAAAAGGAAAAAAAAAGCATTGACTTCCAATTCCAATGCAGTAGAATAAGGTAATAACATGAAACTTCAGCTTTTTACTTTTATATAATAATATATAAAATCCATTTCTATAACACCAAACCTATCTAATCAGCAAAACCCAAAATCAAAGTTTCATTTTTTCCACCTCAATCACAAAATCCAAAAGCGGTTTATGAGTAGAAACAGAATTAATTGTGTTCTTTTCTTTATGCAAAGCAGTCAGTTTAAGCCATCTTTGCTAACTAACTCCATCAACTTTTGCAGCCATTCGTCCATTGTGAGGATCTAAGTGTCCTTCCATTTTTGTGCATAAAGTAATCTTGCTGCCATCAACATATATAACATCAGTTATGATGCTTGAACTCATTTTTGAAAGACTAGGAGAGTGAGGAGCTGCCTCACCTCTGGAAGATAAATATTGCACAGGGCAGGAGCAATGGCAGAGAAGGAGCTCTTTCTAGACCAGACATGTCAAACACAAGGCCCAGGGGCTGGATGTGGCCCGCGAAGTGGTTTCATGTGGCCCGCGAAGCCATCCTGGAAACAGTAAGGGAATGGCCTCTGCTGCCTTGGCCCTGGCCCAGGCCGGCCGGGAGCCAATGTACAATTTTGTGGTGGCCATCTATGTTGAAATGCATTCAGTCTTAGCTCCACAAGGCTGTCTGGAAACAGCGAGGAACCAGGCCCTGCCACGTCGGCCCCACCCCCTGGGTGCATGCTGGGGAGGTGTCACCCTTTATGAGGAATGAAGAAATGCACCATCGTCTGGAAGTGGCCAGCAAATGGCCCTCGCCTACTTCACATATCCGGCTTGATGGGCTCTGCCCTGGTCCCACCCCTTTCTGCCAGAGACCCTCAGATCTGTCCCACTCCTGCCCAGGCCCCCACAGGCATCCTTGACACGAATGATGCAGAGCTGGCCATGCCCACCTAGTAGGCCACACCCACTCCCTCCATGCCCACCCAATAGGCCGCACCCACCCGGCCCCCAGAGGGCAACCACAATGCTGATGCGGCCCTCAATGAAATTGAGTTTGACACCCCTGTTCTAGACCCTGCTAGTCAGAGTTCTTTGACTGACGGGTCTGTAATTCCTGCCTTACTGGGTGAGATGGGCTGATGCAATGAGACAAATATTCTTATAGATTTTTCCATGGTACTTAACAATGAGGTAGCCAGATCCACAGGTGAGAAGTTTCTCAAGCTCTAACCATGGTGAGGTAACACTAATTTCTGCAAATGTGCACATGTGGGATTATTCAAAAAATATTCTTGATAGTGTGATATGAGACTAATCAGACTTTTTCTGATTAGCAAGTAACATACAGCTGTGTAAATACAAGGTGTGCTCTGGAAAATTGGCATTCGTCTCATTCTTTCTCCAAATGTAGTCCTAAAACATTATTATGTGAACAGGTGTGCATGACTGAATCAGTACTATTGCTGAAAGTTAAGCCTACATGTCTGAAAGCATGCTACATTTTATTTTAATGATTCTGGATGGACATGGCCCCATTCTGGTCTGATACTCAGTTACTCAACTGCTATTTTTGTTCAGGTGAATCTCTTTAAGCTTTAAGGTATTCCATTCAAGCGCTGCTCTTTAATTTTATTATAGTAATTTGTTTTAGGGACATGGAAACTAAATTATCCCCATTCTTTTATAGACTCCAGGGGACCTCATTCCCATTCTGACTTTTACATAGCAAATCTCCCTTTCTTTTTCATTTTAGTGAGAAGTTGGTTTTCATATCAATAAAAATTGCCAGCATGGTCCCTTCAATCCAGTTTTGGGCTAAAGTTGAAATGAGGATTAAAATCTTCATTTTCTTCACACTAAAGTGCCAACGTGGACTGAGTATTGACTTTGGCTGTTTGCAAGAAAAAGTAATCTGCACCTAAGACAAAGCTGTTAGAGAAATATTGTATGCAAGTTTGGCATTGGAGTGTCTATATTATATACAGTAAACGTCTCTGGTGACACTTAGATTTTGAAACTTCTACTTGGGGGAAACCATTAAAGAGTCTTTTCTTTGGTGAGAAGATCTTGTTTAGGTTGTTTTCTTCCCCCATTAGCTATGAGAAATTTCTTTTGAACTATGCTATTAATTTTGATATGATTTTTAGCACTATTGTATTTATTTCTTATAAATGATTGGGTATAAATGGATAAAGAAATAGCAAAAGTAATCTGAAATCGCAGAAAGGGTTATATGCAGAAGTTATATATTTGTCCATTGTCTACTTCACAGAAGAGCAGAACTTAATAGTAGAGGATTTTTTTTTTACTACTTGAATTAGCATAAGAATTTTGACAGTGCGCGAATCACCGTTAAACCAAAACATTTTCTAAATGACACAACATATAATAAAAGAGTCCAAGGCTACCTTTCTTCTCAAGAGAAAAAGACCAAAAGATCTTTAAAAAAATAAAGGAATCAATAGTGCAGTAGTGCCAGTTCTTCAGTTTCCAAATAAAAAGCTGCTCTGGTAGTTGTAGGTGTGAGAGAAATAAAGAGCACAAAACTTTATATTGGTAAATTATAGATTAATTTGTCCTGAAGCACAGAGCCAAAATTCTCTATTGGGGCAAATCAAAACAAGTTGAACAATGCAAAATTATTATACAATACTGCCATCAGCCAGAACAGAATTTATTTCCTATTATATATTCCTATTATATATTCCTACATGGAATTAGGCTGATAGACCATTTTAACGATATTATGATCCATTCTTGCACTGTAACATCACTTATTTGTCATTTAGACAAAGGTCCTTACAGGACATTAGATTCAATCTGATTTTATATTTAATTATTTTCTTTAGAACAGTTTGTCCTATGATGGATTACAATCTTGGATCACAGTAGAATGTTCCATTTACATATTTGGGTCATAATGATAGAGCAGAAAGGATCAAAATCTATTTACTGTAAATGGCTACAGGCTTTTCTTTTACTCCATGCTACTGAATCTGGGTGTATTGCACCCTTTAAAATCTAAAATGCACTCTTTGACTCTTTTAACAAAAGTATTTGATATGGTTTCCCTCTCTATACTGTCCAGGTTCCATTAATTCTCCATTTGTGATGCAAATTTAGCAGAACTTGCGCATTAAATAATATCCAAATTATTATTGTTATTCTAAATGCTGAATGACATTTGAGTCAATTGAATAAAACCTAGATATAGTGGCCTGTAGCTTCACAAAATAGAAATATATTATGTGTATTACCAAATGATAAGAATAACATTTAACTTTGTAATGATGATGGATAAAAACCAATTACTCTGACAATTTTCCCCAATGTGATTAAATACTCAAAAACGGAATGTTTCCAGCTATCTTTATTTATTTTGCTAGGTTGTTAAACTAATTAAGTATGATGAATTAAGGCAAAAGAGTTGTACATCTTCCCACATCAAATCAAAGTGTACCAGATGACAGGAAGGAGAAGATAGATAAAAGCACAACAGTGAAAACATTTAAACACTGAATAGTTCAATTCTGCAATGTAATCATGTAAAAATTGTCATTATTGAGAAAGATTTGATTCCTAAGAAAAGATCATACGTTTGATTACATTCAAGCTGCTATTCATTTGGTAAGCATAAATAGCCCAGAAAAATTATTTCCATGTTATTCTGTTGCTTTTATAGCAGCCTTGGTAGCAACGAGAGGAATAAGGTTCTTTACACACTAGTATTTTGCAACGAATATAAACTGTGGAATAGCTCTTGCTCAATGTGAAGGATTTAAATCTAAAGCTGATGCTTCTCCTGTTCCTTGAAGAAAAAAGTTGGTATGTGCTATCCATTTTGCATCTGAAAGAAATAGAACAAAGAAAGATGTTATTTTTTTGATAGAACCTGCACAAATACAATTTCACTGTATTAAACTAGCAATAGAGTGCTCCAGTGAATATCATGCTTGAGAGTATTTGCTCATAGATTTACTATTTGCAAATAGTTACATATTTGCAAATAGATTGTGAGTCAACCAATTCTAATAAAAAAAACACAAGAATGATAAAAGAGGAAGATTTTAAAATGAAAAATTTTGAAAAACCATACCTTATATGGGACAACAAACATTATGTTGAGCACAAAAAATGAGTAAGGAATACTAAGCCAAAGAAACTAGAAGCCCAAGATAATGGAGTGAATCAGAAATAGGACTCAGTCTCATTTGTACCAACATATTTACAATATGTCTTCATATCATTTGGTCCTTGCAAACCATCCTTATTTCCACTTTCATGTATTTTTGTGGTTCAATCCCATTCACTTTCTCCATATGAACAACAACCTGTATTTAGCAATTACAGTTATCTACCTTGTCAAAATTGTGAAATTTGATGCATTTGATGATCAGGAAAGGTTTTCACAAGAGAGAGTTGGAAACAGAATTAGAGACTAAAGATAACTGGTATATAACAGAAAGATTAAGAGCATGTTGGCAAAAATAATGGGAGGGTGGGATGGGATCCAATAACAGATAGCAAATGAGCCAGTCAAATCTAAGTAGTACATAGAGTATTAAGTTAAGTTATGTTTGGTGTTAAGAAACAGAAGGAAATGGATCCAAATGTGCTGGGCTATAACTTATTTAACCCTAGTTATCATGACCCTTGGCTGGTTGGTTTGGTAAGCATCAGGTTGAGAAAAGCTGATTCAGAGGCATTAAAAGAAAGCTTCCAGAAAAGTATTCTAGAGATACAGATAAAGTAAAGACAAAATTTATCTACATAGGATAGAGAGGCAAAAAAAAAGTAATGATTCTGTGAAGAAATACTGATTTGTTAGCCTTACCCTTTATTTATCATGATATAAGTTTCAGTTTTGAAGTCGTAACGGTTAGGGGATGCCACACAAGAGTCCATGAATAATATTTGATTACTATTAAAGCTGTGGAGTGTGGCTTGGATAAATGCATTCTGGTTCAGGTTCATAAAGTAACCCATGTTATTTATTGGCTGTGTAAAGAAAGGTGACTTATAAAATAAAAACTCCATATGAAATTTTGGCCCTTGATTTGTGCATTCAAATTCATCAATGTTGTGGGTGACTTCCATATTTCTGCTGAGCTCCATTTTGCAGGTGAATTGAAACTGAGGATTTACGCCATTCCCAGAGCTGCTCACAATATTGGTAAAAGTGCTTATCTTCCCATTATTCTGTTAAAATACCAAGCAAAATATATAAATGCAATCATTTTTAAAATATTTGATGTTCACCTATGATTTAGTAGGAAGAATTGCTGTATTAACCCTCTATTCTTCTGAGAGAGGAACTAAAGAATTAGATAACTTCAATGGTTTCACAAATATTGAAATATTTCCCTCCTATAGTTCTTTTAAGGTAAAAATATCAGGAATGAGAGACGAAGAGCACAGAAATCTTCAAACTGTATAGCAAAGTCTCTGCACAGGAGCTATTGTAAACCAGAAAGTCTTTATTCAAATTTAAAAAATGAAAATATTCAAAAACTGTTTTAAAACTAAGGTCTTAGGAAAGACTGAAGAATCTCCCACTCTCTATCACTTGCTTTTTTTGCAGGTGCTATGATAGCAGGCACATTGGCAAGGCTCGTTCTTCTGAGAAAGATAAGCCATTTAACTGCTTGTACATTTTTTTAAAGACTGACAAATGGTGTATTATCATTTCTGCATTTATAGTACAGCTGTAAGAAATGCAACAGCAACCCACTTTCTCTGGCATTTTCATGCAAGATGTGCCTTTCTCTCTAGGTAAAGAAATAATAAGCTTTCAAATGTAATCAGGATTTAGGAAATGATAAAATTCATTGGCTAGCTACATATGTTCATAGTAGAGAGTGCATCGCATCACTCCAGTCACCATTATCTACATATGGAAAGAAACGATGACAATGTCTAATACTCAGATAGCCAGAAAATCCATCATGTCTCGGAATTGCTTTTGAATTTCTCTAAAGCAGGAGTTGAAGTCCACATATTTTAAAGTTGCCAAGTCTGAAAAACACTGCTCTAAAGCAATTCAAAGGCACATGACTGAATCCAATGTCTTGATCTGATTGGATATCAGATCATTTAGAGCAGTGATTCTCGACCTTTTTAATGCCACGACCCCCAACCGGTCGTAAGTCGAGGACTAAACCGGTCGTAAGTCGAGGACTAAACCGGTCATAAGTCGAGGACTAAACTGGTCACAAGTTGAGGACTACCCAACTGGTTGTAAGTCGAAGACTTTCCCTGCCCGGGAGCGCCGTGCATGTGTGGTTCCGCCCCCTGCGCCGGCCAAGGCGTAGCTGGCAAGCGGCAGATGCGGAGCAGGACGACCACCAGCTGGCCCAGCTCAAGGGAGGTAAGGCACACGCCGGAAAAGGGAAAAAAAATGGCGGACAGCCTTGCTTGGCGACCCCCGTGAAATGGTCGATCGACCCCAAATGGGGTCACGACCCATAGGTTGAGAACCGCTGATTTAGAGTGTGTGAAGAGCCATGTATACTTATATTCGGAAAGGGATACTGAATACTGTACTGCATTTTCAAACCATAGAATTATTTTTTTAAAAAAAGAATCAGAATTTCTTTTCAAGAGGCAAAATTCTATGATGGCTGCATTTCAATAAGTATTTTTCTTTTGCCCTTAATCTCTCACCAAACCCCATCAAAGTCTTACAGAACCCATTTTAAAAATTCCAGAGCTAGACTATTTATAATGAAGGCAAATAGATTATTTAGACTCATCTACCTTGATTAAGACATTTATCACATCACTTAGGGCTATATAATTTATTACTGGGTTAACTGGGTCCACTTAATCTAATTTTGTTATTGTTGGTTCTGGCCATTTGGTATAAAGTGTTTTAATATCCACTAATTTAGGTGATCAAATATTGGTTAACATCTCCAAATAAGAATTAGTTACAACATCTCCTTAAGCACAATTTATTGCAGGAAAAAAATTGACACTGTAAATTTTTGAGATTTTTTTCATCCTTAAACCTTCTAAAATAACAATCATTCCATTATAGAGAATGATTATATCTGTCATATTATCAGATACTTACTTCCCGTTTGGTTCCACAACCATCATATGGTATATAGAATGTAAACTTATCTTCTGAAATGTCAGGTGTACAGGTGGCATCACTTATGTACAAATTACAGTCAAGGCAGCCCTTTGAAATGAGATATTGTCTCCCAATAACTGCCTTCATGTATTCCGTATAGCAAGAAAGTGTTACTGTACAGTGAGAAAGGAAATGTGTTGTCAGTAAATAGAAGAAAATATATAAAATTGTAACCAGGTTTCTTTGTAAATGCCGGTATCATTGATTTACCATTAGTTAAATAACAATTCTTATGGTACTTCCAGTAAGATTTTTCACTCTATATTTCCATATTAGTCAGCAATCAGTTCATATTGTTTTACTATTATAATTATTTATTAGATTCTTTCAAAATCGTTTGATATGATTGCACGCATTAATACCAGGGCCTTATTAGCTACAATGCTCCAGGTGATTCAGTTGCAGCATCCTAAGTAATGAGTTGCTGGCTTTGTTTCTTCCTATGTTCCCATCAGTTATGTTTTTGCCACAATCACTTTAATCAGTAATTAAATATTTGAAATCTTCTCCACCCTTCACCATGACCTTAAGCAGCAGTGAATTGGAAGGGACACTTCTGTCTAATACACCCACACACCCTTGTGCACATGGATATTTGCGGTGGTTTCCAACAACTTTCAAAACTTTGATCCTTTGTGTGTGGGGCAATTTGCTACTGAACTCCCTTTTTATGACCCTGTAGTCCCTACTCGAGATAGAGTCGGGGTGGAGATGGAGCATTTACTAGCTGGATGCTCTTCCTGACATCTATATGGAGTTCACAAAAGATTTTTTTTTCTTTGTGTCCTAGGAGAGAAACATCTGCCACTACCTAGGATTGAAGTCTCAGCCTTCTGAAATGAAGGCAAGCACCTTCCATGCCACTCATTTTGCTACTGAATATAATTATCTGAATTCTTATGTAATGCCACAGGCATTATTTGTTTAATGAAAATGTTTAATGAAGTAATTGAACAACAATAAAATTTACCAAAATCTGTGGTATCTTCTGGAAGAGCTATGAAAGAAAAAAATAATATGATTAAGGCATCTTTTACAAATTACCTTGTAGAAGTAACTTAGAACTATTCTTCAAATACAAAGCAGCTAACCCTTGGAAAATACCAGGCTTACTTGATCCTGTGCCTATTGGACTAGAAACCAAGCAACAATCAAGCAATGGCCCCATGACTGGCTAAATAAATCATGGCATGTGTATTTGGCTAGGATTCCAACCAGATATTGCAATGAAAGTTAATGGTGTAACAACTGGGCATATAACCTTACAGCCTGCTTATTCTAGGACTGAGAGAATGAACAATATTGTCTCAGATATCCATATTCTGTTACTGTATTGCTAGTTCAAACATTATATGAACAAAGAAGCATTAGCCTTTTGTTCAAAATGAACATTAAACAAAACAAGCATGTGTAGAGGAAGCAAGATTGCATCTGGAAAGAAAACTGAATACTGTATGTTAGAAGTCTAAGGAGTATATGGTATATGTTAAATAGAAGAGATCTGGAGGTTCAAAAGAGGGAGATACAAAATCTTGAAATTTAAAGTCTTAAGAGATTCAATTCAGGATCTTTTTAAAAAATCATCATGAAAATGAAATTTACAGGATGTGATTATTCTCTTTGCCAACATTATGGCCACAAAACATTAGTTTTCTAGAACCTGTATAAGGAATACCAATTATGAGAATTCAAACTTCTTTACCAATCAATAAAATGAGTTTCCTATAAGCCTATCTTGGAATACCAACAACTATAAGGTTCCTACATGGCTAATCACTGGTTGTTTTGCAATATAACTTTCCCACAATTTTATTTATTCGATTAACATGGGAATATCTGGATTGGGTTTTGTATGCTTCAGATGGAGAGTGAGTTATCCCTGGAAAATACAATATCTGGTTTGGAGATATCCCCAAATTGGAGAAGGAATCAGGAGCAATCAGGAAAAGAAAACAATATAGATTTTTTGGGGGGGATTTTTAAAATACATTTCTGCGGCACGCCAGAAACCGGTCCACACAAACAAGTGAAACCCCATCCGCAGGAAGCAGGCAGCATGTGAAACCATGCCCCCACTGGTCTGCAGAAAAACTTCTTTCCACAGAACCCTCTCCACAGTCCCTGGTGCCCAAAAGATTGGGAGCTGCTGTTTTAAGGGATACTTTGTAAATGCACTGAGTTTAAAAACATGTTTAAATTAAACAAAGCTATTTTGATCCTGAGCTCTGATCTATCAACAGATACAGATTTATTTGACATATACTAATTTGTGGAACAAGGTACAATAACAATAATCACATGCATATATGTATGTTTTATGTATCACAAAAACATTGCTTACTGGCTATCGTGGCCACTGTGGTCNGTAAATGCACTGAGTTTAAAAACATGTTTAAATTAAACAAAGCTATTTTGATCCTGAGCTCTGATCTATCAACAGATACAGATTTATTTGACATATACTAATTTGTGGAACAAGGTACAATAACAATAATCACATGCATATATGTATGTTTTATGTATCACAAAAACATTGCTTACTGGCTATCGTGGCCACTGTGGTCGTTGGTGGTGGTGGTGGTGGTAAGGCTGTTGAAAAAAAAACATTTGCAACACTATTATTCCATATTTTAATTTATAGAGTTTTATTACCAGGTTTTCCCAAATTGTACTCTTCTGCAATATTTGCAGAGTCATCATTAAGCTATCTCAGAGAATTGGGAGATATTACGGTATGTTTAAGAAGACGTAATTTGTTGTTTTAAAATATAAAACCTGTCTTAAAGTTGAGCTGGAGGGAAAATGAAATGCAAACTGATGACTAGAGACAAAAGCAATTGTCTTCTTCCATGACCACAAATCTACCATTTAGACCAGTGGTGGCGGACCTATGGCACACGTGCCAGAAGCGGCACTCAGAGCCCTTTCTGTGGGGACGCGCACCGTCGTCCCAGCCCCGCCTCCCCTTGTGGCCCCCTCACCAGCAGCCCCCCAGAGGAGAGTCACCCCCAGGCACGGGCCGCACAGAGCAGCGCAGCCAAGCACATGGCAGCAGGGACAAGACTCCGCCCTCATGCCCTGTCGCGTGCAGATGATGCTGCAGGGCGCGGGCAGAAGGTGTGGCCGCCATGGCACTGCGGGGCCACTGGGCGATCTGTGGCAGGCTGTGAAGGCGGCGGGTGGCCCTGCAAGATGGGGTCAGCGGGGCCAGGCAGGCCGGGGGCAGAGCAGCGGGGCGGGACGGGGGACGGGGTGGTTTTGGGCACTCGGTCTCTAAAAAGTTCGCCATCACTGATTTAGACATACTAAACTACATGTAGGGGGATGAACTGCTCTGAAATGATCAAGATTGCAGTATTTTTTTTCCTCTGTCAGCTGCCAACCTAGGCACATATGCATCTGCAGAGAAAGGAAGAAACAGGGGGAGATTAAATTTCCTTAGAAGCACCTGAAGGCTGGCAAGCAGGGTTCAGAAGAAAGAAGTCAGAACAGCAGAGACAAGGGAGGGAGTTTTCTTCTAGGTTTGGTAAGAGATGCTGCTGGAGTGAGAGGTGACTTGACAAGTTATAGAGCAGAGGACTGCGAGAGCCTGAATTCCATTGGTTTCAATTCAGCAATTCAACTAACTAGTCATCGAAAAAATATTTAATGTTTGTGACAGTGGGCAACTAAACTAGAGCATTTTCACAGGGAGGGGCCATTCTGGGCCAGAAAAATATTAAAAATACTTTGATCATGTCCAAAGCAAGTTCTAAGGATATTCTGGAATCCTTTGCCAAAATCAGATTTGGAAGTTTCATTCTATCATTTAGGAACGGCCTTGCTGTAGGTCCTCCTCCTTGTGAAATTCATTCAGTTTGTACATTGCCTGCTTCCCAACTATGGGAGCTCAGAAGAAAGCAGAAGGACTAACAAATAATAAAAACAACATGGCAATGACTCCCCCCCCCCCAAAGATGGAATAATTGGGCAATAACAAGCACCCATCCACTTTGTACCTTTGTTTTTATTTCTATACTCTCAACAACTTTATTTTTATATTTGTAGGTACAGAGAACATTAATTCACAAAAGGGGTCCTCTGTATATTGAAGGGACTCAAATATTCAATTGAGATATCAGTGAAATATAATAGTTCTTTTAGGAGAGAATGGCAAGAAGTGGAGTAGTACCCAAATTACTGGTAATAATATAGAAATTGGACAGGAGAATGATTATCATGGAGCAGCCTTACTTGGTTAGTGTCAAAAGGAACCTCCCTGAAGAGCTATCACACGTTCCTTCGGAAAAAGTGAGTGCGATCTTAGTGAGTGTTTATGTTAAGAGTAAAACAAACTACATCTATCCATCGAGAAAGCACCTGAGGTTGTTTAAAAAGGTTTACTTCCACTACAACTCTTTCCCGGTAGTTTCTAGTGTTGTTTTAGTTCCCACGTCAACCTAGTAATTTCCAGCCTGTGGAGAAAAAGATGAGTAAGTGAATGCTTTCAGAATTACTCGAAACTACCACCGCATCCAGACTTCCATTTTTTTTAGTATGTTAAAGCTGTCCTTCCTCAACTACTTCCACAGAGGTTGTTCCATTAAAACAGAGATGGGCTACCAGGCATCCAATAATGCTCTCAGAAACCTCTGAATTCCTTCCTTGTCTTCTTTCAAACCAACTACAACTTTGCTTCAGTTCTGAGGCAAAAAATGTGTAAAAAGTATTTATGTGAGCCCTAAGACAGACATAGCAGAATTCTTTAATCCACAAACCTGAGAAGGAAATGGGCCATGCGGATGGCCTTAGCAGATTACCTCTAAAACAGATAGAGGCAGATCCTGCTCTGGCTATTAATATTCTCTCCATTCAGGAGTTACCTGAATCTCCCCTCAATGCTAGGGACGTGGCTGCAGAAACTGCCACTGATCACACGCTTGCACGCGTGCTGACATGGATGTTGTCAGGATGGCCTGAAACGTGTCCAGGTGCGACATTTCAAAGTTTCTGGCAAAGGAGACACGCACTGTCTACCTTTAATGGGTGCCTTTTATGGGAGAGTAGAGTAGTTATCCCAGCCTCACTGAGGTCTAGGGTCTTGTCCTCTCTGCATGAGGGACATCCAGGCATTGTGCGCATGAAAGCGCTGGCGCACAGCCATCTTTGGTGGCCTGGGCTTGATAAAACCATCGAGGCTCAGGTGCACGGGTGCCAACTGTGCCAACAGTCACGGCCTGAAATGCCTCAGGCCCTTGTACACCGGTGGGAGGAGACACACACACCTTGGTCAAGGGTACATTTAGATTATGCTGGGCCTTTCCAGGGGCAATTCTTCCTTATCCTTATTCCAAGTGGCTAGAGGTTGTACCTGTCTCCTCCACTACTACTGCCAGGACTATCCAGGTGCTAAGAGGAATCTTTGCAACCCCATGGTCTTCCGGATGTTCTTGTTTCTGACAATGGTCCTCAATTTACATCTTGTGAGTTCCAGGCTTTCCTTCAGGCCAACCTGATCTGGCATGCAACGTCAGCAAGCGGAAGGAATGGTGCGCACCTCCAAAGACGCAATCAAATGACTAATACATGGCAGCTGGCATCACAGGTTAGCAGATTTTCTTCTTGCACACCACACCACACCATGCACTGACACCGGGAAGAGCCCAGCTGAACTCCGCTGGGGTCGCTGCCTCATTACTAAGTTATATAGACTGCATCCAGACCGGGTGGCTTCACAGGTGTCACAGCCGTGGGCACCTAGCAGGCTTCAGGTGGGCGATCCAGTCTGGGCTAGGAACTTTGGTCCTGGACATCTCTGGGTCCCTGCTGTCATCTGTAAGATCTCTGGACCTCTATCATACGAAGTTGCCTTGGATGATGGCTGTGTTCTTCGCAGACACATAGACCAGCTGCGTTGGAGATTGGACAGCCACATTCCCGCTCCTGGCTCTGCTCTGGGGGGGGGGAGGAGGACCATAATATGCATTCTGGGTCACAGATTCCCAGGGGTTCTGGGTCACAGGTTCTCAGGCCTAACAGGGCCTCACAAAATGCTGAGGCTGTTTGGGGGTCATCCCAAGATTCTGCAAGTGCTCCAAGCAGGAATTCCCAGGATAGGGAGTCATCCCGCACATCTGTTATTGCTCCAGACAGGGAGTCAGACTGGGGGTATCCACATAAAACACATACAGCAAGAGAAAGGGAATTCCATCAGGGGCACTCTCATAATTCAGCTATTGCTCCGAACAGGAAGTCAGTAGCAAGGGGGTTTGCCATAGAGGCGGCTCCTGACTCTGGCACCCCTGGCATGTGCTCGGGGGCTACGGAGTACTGGGGCACTTCCGCCACTCAGGCCTCTCCACCTGTTGGCCTTGGGCTCGAGGGACATTGTTCCCAGGAGGAGTCCATTGTGGACTTGGGGATTTCCACCCCTCCAAGGTTTACTGGCTTGGACTCAGAGGGTCCAGCCAGTCAGCAGCTGGGGAAGGTACCTGGGTGTTTGGGGCATCCAAGTCCTGGCCTGCCTAGCCTAGTAGGCGAGCAGGTAAGCCAGGCACCCTCACCGGCCCTTAGAAGGTTGCAGCGGGCCAAGTGCCCCCCTAAACATCTGGGGGATTATGTGAGGTTTCTGTCAATATGGGAGGAACCTTGCTATGAGGTCCCTGAATGAGGGGGTTAACACTTAGGAGGAGTCTCATATGCTATTTTGATTTTGGATATGTTTTATTTGAGTTAATAACTATTTTGAAAGGTGTTTGCCTGCGTGCAGACCCAAGCATTTCCACCCTCCTTGCATTTGAATAATGCATCTGTGTCATCATCCTTACATTGCACAATACACCTGTGCGTAAGCCTGGTGTGTTTCATCTGGGGGGAGGGGTGTTGTGTCCTGAGCCTGCAGGAGCTGACTGCTGGCTCAGAGTTGTTGCAAATGGTCCCGGGCAATCCCAAAAGCTGCCCGGGACCAGACAGAATGTCGCCAGCCTTGCGCGCATGCACAAGGCACGAAAGGCTAAATTTCTATTGGTTCACACTGTCCAGGCTTCTGGCCCTATAAAAGGCCTGCGTGCCTTTTACTGTTTGCTTGGTGTTGGAGAAGAAGAATAAAGTGTTTGTTACTTGTCACCATGTGTCTTCATCATTTGCATGCGAACGAAGAATTTAACATTTATATTCTATAAACTCAGCTATATAAATTTTAAAATAGTAAAATAAAATCATGCAATAATAGCAGCACTAATAACAAGCCAATGGTATGGTTTTATTTTGCATATGTTCTCCCTAACAATTCAGTTTTTCAAAGCCAAAAATGTGGGACCAATCTTATTTCCAATGGGAGGCTACATCATGATACATGCAATACTATAAATAGAAAGCAGAGTCACTTATAAATTTTAAGCATATACTATAATGCAAAAATGCATAATATTCCATCACATTCAAAATTATAATTTGATTAGGCTTAATGAGGTTATAGGCCATTTGCGATCCTGTGTTTTCACGATCAGCATTCCTGGTATAAAGCAAGTACAACTAAATTGTCATTACACTCTGCTTTCAAAGAGGCATCTCTCAAGTTATAAACAAACTTCAAATTACTTGAAGTTATTACTTCAAATCAGTTATTATTTTCAGAATTTTCAGCTGCAATAGATAGAATTTTCTTGCATAATACACACTGTATTCCTTTGCTGCTCTCTAAGGTTCCATTTGTAAGAGCCTCATATATTGAGAACAAAAATGGTTAAGTTAAGCAGAAATTGGACAGAAGGGGAAAAAAGTAATGAGGTTCTTTCCATATTTTTTTTTAGTCTGAAGTGCTGTAACCTATAGCTGTTTTACAAGATCAACGAAATCTCTGTGTATATGAGCAGAGAGCAACATAAATATATATACATTTCCCATTTTATTCTTAGATCTTTGTATTCTTGCAGTCTTAAGATACAATGGATAATAACACATATTTTAGTTTATAGATCACTCTCTTATAGGATAGAAGGATTGAGAAAATGCCCTGGGTTCTGTGGAATAGTTCCCGTAAAGCTTTCAAATTTAAAGTATGAAATATGTTTAGTTAGAACAGTTTGTAACTAAAACAGAATTTGTGGCAGATTAATAAAATGATTCAACAGCATTTTCATTGATGAGCTAGCAGATCCTTTATTACCTGAAAACTTCAAATCTTAGTTCTACATGACGTCTTTCCTCCACCTCTATGTCCCAAACACAGTAAGAATTCTTTGGGTAGTTTGAAGGATAGAATGGACTTTTAAATGAACCTGAAGGACCTGTTAATTTGCAGCCATAGAGACATTTGCCTAGAGGGAAACAAATTAATAAAGGCCAGTGAAGAACTTTATTAGTATAAAGTGTGTGTGTGTGTGTGTGTGTGTGTGTGTATGCGCATATGTATAATTTAAGTGAAATAAATACACAGAAACTCCAGGAAACAGCACATGCTTACATAGGTCAAATAAAACCATTTATAAAAGCATTCTGGGAAAAAGAAAAAAAAATAACGAGAGGAAGCAACCTATGTTCTCTGCAACTGGGTCAATAAAAACTCAACTGAAATAAGAAGAAAAAAGCAGAATGCTAAAGACAAATCCATTGTGTGCTTTTTAACTTACCTGAGAATGGGTTAGTGAAAAAAAGCAAGAATATATTGTAAAGGGAAGACATTGCCTAACTATGCCAAAGGTTGGAAGTATCCTTGCCTATGTGATTCTATCTTTTCCAGTTATAAAGATGTTTGAGATACATAAAATTTTAAAACTGAAAATAGTACCACCCAATTCATACAGTACATTATTGTCAAACATGAGAGAAACTGTTAAGCAAGGAACTGAACTAGGGGAAACATAACTAAACATGGGATCTATTAGTTTAGATTTATGACCGGCCGTACTCAGCATGTGGTCCTCAATGGAACTGCATCTACATGGAGGGAAGTGTGTAGTGGTGTGTCCCAGGGCTCTGTTCTAGGCCCAGTGCTCTTCAACATCTTCATCAACGATTTGGACGAGGGGATAGATGGGGAACTCATCAAATTGACACCAAGCTGGCAGGGTGGAATATCCAACAGATTTTTAAGAAAAAGATAAAATTTACACCGCAATTATTTTTATTGGGCATTATGGAAAATTTGGACCTTAAGGAAATGAATTTGATGTTGTATTGTATAACAGCAGCAAGGTTATTGGTTGCTCAAAATTGGAAGAAGGAGGTATTACCGACTATGGATGATTGGAGATTGAAGGTGTCATATTTTGCAGAAATGGCTAAAATTTCCGCATATTTGAAGGATCAATCTCAAGAAAAATTCATTTTGGTATGGAGAAGATGGATAGATTATATTCAGAGAAAGTATGAAATGAATAATTATCATATAGCTTTTGATTAAACGTTTTTTCTTTTTTATTATTTCTATATACTTAATATAATTTATATACATATTTTATATTTAAGTTTATTATTGTATATTAGAGTTAAAGTATGATAATATTTGTTTGTATTATGTTTGGGTAGTTTTATTTAGATTTGAGATGCTATGTGATTATCCCTGTATTCAGTTCTGGGAAGTCCGGGGGTGGGGAGGGGGGAAGGGGATGAAGGGGTAGAATTATATAAAATTTGGTGTATTTATATGTTATAGAAAAATAATGTATTTTTTTTGAGAAGAGGAGATGATCGGCTAGTACCCCTAAACTGCATCCGAAGGATGTGGAAAAGAAGGTGATGGGATGTGTAGGATAGTTGGAAAGGAGGAAGGAGGAGAGGGTATGGGTTGGAGGGGAAGGAAGGAAGGAAGAGGGAAGTAGGTAGGAAGGTTGAAGTAGTGAGGGTGGATGCAGGGGGGGGGGACCGCTGATCATTTCTGAAAATATATTGACTAGCTTTTCCTTTTTGTTTTTTAATGAAATGCACCACATTTGTATTATATGTTTATTTGAAAAATTAATAAAATTTGCAAAACCCAGAAATTGACACCAAGCTGGCATAGCCAACACTCCAGAAGACAGGCTTAAGATATAGGAGGATCTGGACAGACTTGAACACTGGGCGCTATCTAACAAAATGAAATTCAATGGTGAAAAAAGTAAGGTTCTACATTTAGGCAAGAAAAACCAAATGTACAGGTATAATATAGGTGGTACCTTGCTCAATAATAGTAACTGTGAGAGGGATCTCAGAGTCCTAGTGGACAATCACTTAAATATGAGCCAGCAGTGTGCTACAGCTGCCAAAAAACCCAACTCAGTGCTGGGCTGCATTAACAGAGGGATAGAATCAAGATCACATGAAGTATTAATACCACTTTACAATGCCTTGGTAAGGGCATACTTGGAATACTGCATCCAGTTTTGGTCACCACGATGTAAAAAAGATGCTGAGACTCTAGAAAGAGTACAGAGAAGAGCAACAAAGATGATTAGGGGACTGGAGGCTAAAACATGAGGAACGATTGCTGGAATTGGGTATGTCTAGTTTAACGAAGAGAAGGACGAGGGGGGACATGATATCTCAGGGGCTGCCACAAAGAAGAGGGAGTCAAGCTATTCTCCAAAGCGCCTGGGGGCAGGACAATAAGCAACGGATGGAAATTAATCAAGGAGAGAAGCAACCTAGAACTAAGGAGAAACTTTCGGACAGAACAATTAACCAATGGAACAACCTGCCTCCAGAACTGGTGAATGCTCCAACACTGGAAGTTTTTAAGAAGAGACTGGACAGCCATCTGTCCGAAATGGTGTAGGTTTTCCTGCCTGAGCAGGTGGTTGGACTCGATGACCTCCAATGTCCCTTCCAATATTATTATTATTATTATTATTATTATTATTATTATTATTATTATTATTATTATTATTATTATTATTATTATTATTATTATTAAAAGGATTTGATTGAGAAGGAAACCTCTATTTCTTTTGTAGCTAAGTATTCTGTGTTTCAAATTTGGTGAGCAATTCCTTTTCAGCCCTTGACATACTAAGGTGGCAGTGTGAATGCCAGATAATAGTAGGCTAACTATGTGTTATCTTGTGGGTTTTTAAAAACTATTATTATTTTAATATGTTAAAAAAAGGAGATGTGGCTTTCAGTGAAGGAAAGGAAAACCACTTAGATCACAATCCTACATGTGTACAGCTGGAGAAAATGTCAATGAATTAGTTTCTGAAAAAAATTGTTCATAGGTTTTTAATCTTAAGTTACTTAAGTGATCTTAAGTTAATTGATGCTGAAAAGAAACTTCAGCCTGATAACTTACCAGATGGAGTGTGCTTCTGAGTGATAGGAAGAGTTATAGATTTTGATGCTAAAAGAAGGAATACATAAAAACACAGTTGCTTGAATAATGACAAATCTCAAATTTAAGCATCTTACAATTAATATTTGCTTTGAATCCTCTGTTCAATTGAGATTTTGCATGATATGAGTATTAAGGGATACCTCAGTTATCTTCATTCCACATGCAGCATGTATTGTGATGATGAGAATGTTGGCTGATTTTGGCCAACATCGGCCAGAAATTATATTTGTACTTAGTATTCCATTCCAAAGAGTGTTTGGAACATATGGGAGAACAGATACTCCAGTTGTCCACAATTATTTGAAGCACCATTTGCTTTAAGAGCTTATTAAGAACTCAAATGCCTAGTGAGCATGAGTAATAGCTAGTTGCAGTCCAGAAACAACCCTCCTTGCACCACATATAGGGTTGTAACAGTAACCTCTAACCATAAACACTATCCAATTACTCTCATATATGTTCACCCACCCAATATTTCAAAACCCATTTTGCCTTGAGTGATGTTATTTAAACTTTGATTGAAATCTCTTTCTCTTTCTGTTCTTGGAAGTAGGCGAATACTTGAAGGATTGTTTCATTTGATTATCTCTACCTACCCTATTAGGTCTCACAAGCCTTTCACCAGAATAATGGTATGTTTATATGCACATACAGAAAAGGCCAGCTGAATTTCCCACATTTTACAATCCCAGGCAAGAATGTTGAACCTTTCCTACTGCTACTTAAATGCATTTATTGAAGGCTAGAATACATTTAACATATCATCTAGATAGACTGAATAAAAATGGTGGAATGGAGGGTGTGCTGAGAAAAATAATGGAGTGGAAATTTTCTATATTTGCATGTTAGAGGCAAAATGAGCTTGGAATATTTTGTTTGTTTTGCATGAGGAAAAGAAGTCATCACAGAAAGTTCTAATTCTAATTCTAATTGTCCAAAACAATTAATCAGGAGATTGGTTAGTCTACTGACCAGGAATAATTGGGTGTGGTGTGCTTGCTGCAGGTACAGGTCTAGTAGTTGGATGCTGAGTGGTTAGTGCCCAAACTGGTAATAAATAGAGCAAATATAATTTAACATTAGGACTGAAAATAATTTTAAATGCAAAAAAGGAGGTTATTTTAGGAAGTAAACCAAAAAAACCTTCTAAAATAAAAGAACTTAGAAAAATGCATTTGCTCAAATAAAACATCAGATTAGAGGTTCTATAATGCAACGTATCAAAGACACAAAAGAATACATTTGCAGTATAATGCAGAAATCATGTTGATTAAAAAATTACCCAAATATAAATACCTGGGACTTCTGATGTATTTTTTGTGGGAGCTACAGAAACCAAAAGAAAAGAAATAGCTGAGTTTGAAGAAAGGAAAGGAAAAGAGACACAAGAATCTGATAATGTAGTTGTTTCTCTACAGAATTGCTTTAATTATTCTCAGGAATATTCTGCAAGCCTATCTATTAAAATCAGAAAGTATAATTTAGAATATATGACTTTGGCTTTTTATTTACAGCCTACACAGAGCCTTCACAATGAATCTCTAGTATGCTAATTTTCACAGAGAGGCTCCTAATGGCAGGAATTTAAAAATAATGATTCAGTTTTCAATGAAAATAAATCTGAGGCATAAGACATATGTTTCATAGAACAGATGTCACTGACATTTTTTATATTACTAAATAACATTATTCAGGAATTTCAGTATTCCCTAATTGTGTTACTAATTTCATGTTACTAATTTCATGATATGCAAAATGAGATCATTTCTCAAATACACTATTTGCTGTTTGCAAAGACAACCGATACTTACTAGGTATAATGGGATTCTTTGTTGTAAGGGAAACTGTTTCTATGAAAAAAAGCAAAAAATACAGAAAGTAAGCTCCTCCTCTGAGTGATAGAGAAGTATTCATAATATTTTGCTACGAAGGCTCCTATGAAATCATTTTACACTAACAATGATGGAGATGGTTACCTGAGCAAATGACCCCAGCGTCTTCCTTGTGGCCACAACGATGAGTTCCCCAGCCTGGATTGGAGCACTCTTCTATAGACGATTCATTCCCCTTGCACTGAACATTTTCTAGGAGGATGTTGCCAGTGCCTTGCCCAAAATAGGCTTCATTGGTGGCCTCCATAACTTCTCCACAGGCAAGTTGTCTGCAAACTACCTTTGCATCTTGTAAGTCCCAACCGTCATCACAGACTGTTCCCCAGTCCCCATTGTAGAAGATTTCAAGTCGACCCTGGCATCTGTTTTTTCCATTCATCAACCTTACAGTCAACGAGCTTGTTGTTGTTACCAAGGCACTTTCTGCAATTGTCAAAAGAATATAAACAGCAGTTTTTTCACCAATGACACATTACATTGACTCTTTGAGGGTTTATTTTAAAAAGGCATATCAGTGTTTCCCAACCTGATTTTTTTTCAGATAACATTCTGCCTTTGTGTATCTATGTGCATGTGTTTGTTTGTGTGTGTGTGTACAACTTTAGATATTGTGACCTATGTTCCCCTTTAGATAAATGGGGTTGAATGGATTTAAGAAGATACATCTTTAGAGCTGGCCACAATTGCTGCCTAATCTACAGATCTTTGGATCATTTACAAATTATTTTGTATATTTGAGAAATAACTTTCAGGTTCTTTCCCCTGAATACCAGAGATGAAAAACCTGTTATTCTTTACATCATCATATAACCAAAGATGAACATTTTGAGATCTCCACCTCTTTTCCAATTGATTTGCTTTGGTTAAATTAAATTAAATGGCCTTGTCTTTGGTTAGAAGCTGTAACGGTTGTGAGAATATCTTTGGGAGGCAGGAGAAAGAACCGCAGCCAAGAAAACATCTGATAAGAGGAGTCAAAATCCAAAAAAGGAATGAGGATAGAGAAAGCACCTCAGAAGGGACCCTCAGGAATTCTGATGAAAATAATGCCAGGAGGAGGAGGAGGAAAGGTCTTTCAGACTTGTTTGTCTGTTACTGCCGTGGTCCCCAACCTTTCTGGCACCAGGGACCCGTTTCATGGCAGTTAATTTTTCCACGGATTGTGGGGAGGATGGTTTTGTGCACAACCTAATTCAAGTTCATGTGCAGATGAAGCTTTGCTCACTCACCTGCCACTCTCAGGGCCCGATTCCTAACAGGCCACGGACTGGTATCAATGCTCAGCCCGGGGGTTGGAGACCCTTGTGTCACTGTTTCCTTATAATAAGGTAATATTAATACTATTGATTTTGGTTTCCTGATCTGGAGTACCTGAAATGGCTGACAGAAGTGAACAAGTTTGTTGCATGTCCCCAATCCCTTCTATTTCCACATTACAGATATCATTTCAAAAGAAGTATGAAGACAGAAGCAGAATTACTAATATAGTGCTGCAACACTTAGTAATTATTAGAAACCAGAAGAGGTTTGCAAAGGAAAGGGGACAGAAGCTGAATCTGCTCATCCTGCCATCCTATACCCAATCAAAATGTTTTCTGCTGCTGCTGTTTTGTTTTAAATGAAGAGAGAAAAGCTAGGACCCTCCAGAGGTTATCTACTGACACTTATGTGCCCCCAGTGACTTCTTTTTCTCTACCTGTTTCTGTCAAATATAAAAAACTTTAAAAATATTTAATTTGAAATAATGCTTTTAAAAAAGCATTACTTTATTTTTATTTCTAACAGTGACACTGGAGTCCCCATTATTCTCCCAGACATTATTAGAAAATTATGGAATACCTACAATCCAAAGCTTTATTTGCAAATATACTAATCTGCTGCCCCTAAAAAAGTCAAAAGTAAGTTGGGGGTGTAAGCTTGGAGGGCTAGAGAGAGTGGCTGAATGCAATTGCCCTGTTTACTTTCTGAGAAAGAAGTGTATTTTAAGTGCCACAAGTACTACGGCAGCCAGTCTGGAAATCAGCACTTCCACCATCAAACAGCTATTTTGGATATTGGATACCCATAATATGTTCATAACACAAAAAATGTTCCCAGTGCTACAGAAAGTTCTGTTTGGGATGTGCCCTGCATTACATTACATATTTTCCTGTTCACATCTTATTAGTTCTTCTGGTATATTCCTTGGATGTACAGATTTTGGAAGCTCCTTTTCAGTGAAAATAAAGTTGGATGAATATTATTTTTCTCTGTCTTGTTAAAGACGTTGCTGGTTTCTATTTCCCCTTAAATTATGATACAAGGTTTTAAGTAAAAATAGGAATTTAATAAAATACATACTAGGTGCTGATGTGGTGACAGGACCTAAAAATAGAAGAAATAATTTCTGTGGGTGAAAATGACACAATAATGATGAAGATGAATTATGGGGTTATAGTATATTGCCATTATTATTATCATCATCGTTTTTTTCTTTTATATTTTTGTACTCTTCTTTAATTTGATATATTGAAGTAAAAGTGTCCCTCTTGTGAAATATGATAAATAAATGAAAAATAAACAAATAAATAAATAAATCTATAATAAATCTAATCTAAAATAAAACCTGGCTTAAAGTATAGGAACTGATCCCTGTTGTTTTTTTGTTTTGAGACTATAGGTAGTGCTTATTTGCTGACTGCATCTGAGTCTTCCATTTACATTATTAAATTGTGTGGTTGTTGAGCATGACATCACATGATCATGATTTGCAATGTCTTCCTGCCTTTCTCATTGACTTTATTGGAAGGTGGCCATGAAGATTGCAAATGGCAATCATATGACTGCAGTACGCTGCAATTGTTCTAAATGCTTACCACTTGCCAAGTGCCCAAATCATGATCACAGAGATGCTGCAAAAACCATACCTTCAAGGACCTGTCATAAGTCTCATTTTTCAGTGCTATTATAATTTGGTTGGTAAGCAAGCACTACCCATAAACCAATCTACAAAGATGGACAACGCAATGCAGCATCCCAAACAAAAAATAGATTAGCAGACATTTGGTTCTTAAAATAAACATAAAGCTCTAGCCACATTGTAACTATGTTTTGTTGGTGAAATTTGATTACGATTTCTCATTTCCACCAGTAGCGTCATCGGCTGAGAGACTCGGAATGCCGAGCTCTTCAGCCGAGTTTTTTCTTGTTTGGGGACCCTAAATGGGCCAGAAGCCGCCCCGGAGAGGTGGCAATGAAGGAAGGTACTTCCAGGGATCTAGGAGAGACGGCGGTCTCTCCGATCGGTCCAGGAGAAGCCTCCCAGAAACTGACAGAAGAAAGGCTAGCTAACTCCATTGTCTAGCCCTAGCTGTAAGTAAACGGAAGTCACAGAAGCTCTACCTAAACTGATTGTAAACAGTGTGTTTGAAGCTGGGTAAGAACTAATTTTCTCTATCCTACTTATTTTCCTGAAAAAAAAAAGAACTTCCAAGAAATTTGATTACAATTTCTATAGCTTTGCCTCACTGAATTCTAGAAGATTATGTGAGCTCTGAATATAAAGGCTATATGGGAAAACATGTGAAAAGCATGTGGTTTATAATAAGATTCTTCCATACTGTGGTTGAATAAAAAAAATAATTCCAGATTGTACTTAGCCAGAGATTTTTATTCCATTATCTACCAGGTCTCACTTTAAATGAATTTACTGAACTATACTGTAATAATTTTATTAAAACTTAAGCAATTTAGATTACCTGAGCAAATGACCCCAGCATCTTCCTTGTGATGACAGTTATGAACGCCCCAAGGTTTATGAGAGCATTCTTCAAGAGAGGATTCGTTCCCTTTGCACTTCAGCTCATCCAGGAAGATGCTGCCAGTTCCTTCCCCAAATGCAGCATTAGGTAAGGCTTTGATGGCCTCTCCACAGGCAAGCTGCCTACACACAACGTGTGCATCATTCATGTCCCAGCCATCGTCACAAATTGTTCCCCAGCTTTCATTGTAAAAGACCTCAATGCGACCACGACATTTGTCTTCTCCATTCACCAGTCTCAGAGATTTTTCTTGAAATGAAAATAAATGCATATTGGACTTTCACCTCAGATATCTAATTTTCAGAATTCTTAATTACCAAACAGAGAGGAATCATCTCTATTGTTCTGGTTTATCCATATAATACTGTACATTAAAGTCAGTCAATTTTATTCAAGTCTGAATATTTTTTTACTTAGTCTTGAACAGAACAAAAGTAGTTCCGTAGTATGGTATAAAACCATATGCTATCTCTCTATAGCCTAATTCTATCCCTTGGCAGTTCCAATCAGCATGACCACAGGATTCTCCTTTGAAGATTGTAAAACCAGAGTAATAATTCTTGTAATTGAACACATGACTTTTTAAATAGAAGACCCAAGATAACAGGATGATTAGGTCTTTTTTAGAACATAGGTACAGTATGTACTGTACATATTTACATACATAGATCTAGATTAAGCAAGTTTATTTCCCATTTATTTTGATGAGCTCCAAGTTAAATCACAAGTAACTTTTCAATAGGCTTTAATTTCAGGAAAAACACTATGTAATTTCTCATTCACAGAATTTTGCATAGGTCTCAATAGCAAAGTCATTTGTTTAGTCATAGACCTGGATAAAATAACTTCAATAAGAATTGCAGACATTTCAGTAATAACAATGAAAACTAAGAAAGTTGAAAATTAGGTGAGGGACCACATACTAAATGCACATGCTTGATTCAGCAAAATATACTTTAGTTTCAAAACATATACTATTTAATACAATAACTTATTGAAATATGGTTTTATATGTGCTGAAGCATTCAGGATCACCTACTTTGTAGACTTTCAATATTCATCTCATATAAAATGGCTGTGTGCATAGAAAACAGCAGGTGTACAAGTGGTCCATTATGCCTGACATGACATTCATCTTTTCACAAACATTATCAAATATATCATGAGCTTGATAGTTCAAACATTGGCTTGATTTACATATTAACTGGTCCATGGCGATAGAGTGGGAAAAAATCCTTGTTAGATTTATGACCTTCTCCAAAAGTTCAAAGCAACTTGGATGAAGAGCACCCCTTAATTTTATCTTTATGATCTTGTGAATTAGGTTAAACTGAGGGAATGAGTGGCTCAAAGTTATCCCCTGAGTTCTTAGGGTGGACCTCAATCTGGATTTCCCCCAAGCTACTCCAAATCTTCACAGGTACTTATTATTTCAGATATTGTTCAACAAAGGAAAAATTTAGAACTAGCATGTAGTAACCCCTTGCAACCAGCTGGAAGTGCTGTAGGTTTATTGTTACAATATGTATTATTGTTACAAGAATGCAAATCCACTTCAGCATATAATAAATACCTCTTCTTTCCTGCGTAGTCAGCTCTGCGGAGAGTGTAGAAAGTTCTGACAAAAACAGAAAATTATGTTATATGACTCAGAAATTTAACAGAAGTTCTTTTCTATCATGGCTGTATAGAAATAAAGACTCGGCGGAAAATCAGGCGGCGGCTTGGGAAGCAGCCGCTGCCGCGGCACTGGACCGAGTCGTGCCTTTGCGGCCTCTGACCC